AAATTAAAAATAGAATTAATAATAAATTAAATTAATTAATATAAATTTTTTATATATCTGATTTAGTAGTAATTAGTTTTTCTGCGCCACATGTTGCGCCACATCTACTGCATCATATAAATAGATGTTTATAAGTATATTAACTTGATAGATAAATTAAATTTTATCTAAGTAATATAGTAATCTTCATCTTATTTTAATTTATTAAGTTTAGTAAAAGATTAAATAATCTATCTTAATATTGTAAGTTTTGAATATTAGTAGAATCTTTCTAGAAATAAAGCAAAATTAATGAAAAATAGGCTAAGATGAAATAGAAAAATTATAATTCAAATTTTTTTATTATTTTATATAGATCTTGCTTAATTGAGAAATTAAAGATTTTTTAATTAAAGGATATATTTAATGTAAAATTCACAAGAAACATTTTAATTTAGTGCATCAAAGACTATTTCTTAAGAATTTTGAGCTATGCATGCTTTTTATAAAATTCGTGCTCACGTGATACGTAATACCGCGATTTTATTGGTCACAACAAATCGTCGCGATTAATTGGTCATTTAAAAACAGCTTATAACTTGAAATTTTGCTTAGAAACAGCCTTTAAAAAATGTTTATTACATTAGATACTATCAATTTATTATACATTTTTATTGAGGTTGTTACAAATAATAGGTGTTCGATAATAATATATATTTACGATTAAATTCATCCTTTAAAAGATTTCGTTATAAATTGACTTATTACTTATTCGTCACAATTTACATTATTTTTCCAATCACATACACTAATATCCGTATTAAATGCCGTTCCGCTAGGGCAGTCAAATAGGTATGGAGTTCCATTAGAGCACTGATAGAATCTCGTACAATTGTTTGGATCTCGCTGGTACTCAGATGAATCAGCTGAACAAGTAATAGTATTATTCTGAGAAACAACGAAGTAAAATAGACATGTGAATTCTATGATTGCTAAGATGATGATATATTTTTTAATGAATTGAATCGTCATGATAAAAGATTAGAATTTGGTTCAGATAATATTTGTTGGTTTTTATGAGATTTTTTGAGATTTTTGACTTGGTTTAGTACAGAAATTGGACCACCTTTAAATACATACAGTTGGGAACTTCGTAAAGGAGATGAAACTGACTGTATTCTTTTGTTCTTTAATGCATGCAAGTTTTGTGCATAATTCAAAGGGCATAGTAACGGCATTGTTACCGCTTAATTTTTCTATTTATATCTAATTTAGCAGCATAAAAACCGCATGCTTCTAAAAGATAAACCAAAAGCGCCGACTAAGAATCGATTACATGTAGTTTGATTTCAAAGTCAAGGGAAAAATGTTCTTTTTAGTATTTTCAATGTACATTTACATCTGCTGCCACATTCGATATGTTACAAATTTCATGCGTTGAGATCTCGAATTAGTATGAAATTGCCTATTTTAAGAATTCCATACTTCCATGCGAGTTTCTGCGAATTTTACATGAGTTTCTACATGCTATTCTATGGTGCGGGAAATCTTAACTCGCCAATAAATTACATAATATTTAAAGCCTTTAGTAAAATCGAATTTTAAAAAAATAATAATCTCGTTTAAGATATGTACTATTAAACTACCGGCCAGAATTTTAAATAAAAAGTTATAAGCATTTTAAATTGGGTACTTATTACCGTAAAGTCCCGATAATAAGCAACCCCCTACGTCATCATTTTTGAGGTCAATTTTTAGGGGGGTTGCTTATTTTCGAGCCCTTTAAATAAACGTAGATATATCGACGACTAATGATCCAAATCGAACGTTCTATAGCTCATCAGATTCGCCTTATTGAGGCGATCATTTTGGCGGTTTTTTTGAATCTGCTCACTGGTTATCGAAATACTCGAAAACATTTACTGCTATATATTAAAAATTACTATCGCAAATAGGAGTTGCTTATTCAACTTTTCTAGTACTTTTGGGTCTGAAGGGGGGGGGGGGGGGTTGCTTATTTTAGGGGGTTGCTTATTATCGGGACTTTACGGTATATGTTTTGGTCGGAATTGAAACATATCATGTGATTTTTTATCACGTGAAATTTATTTTATTGGTCAATTACAATAATACACTGCACGTGAATAATTTTTATTGGTTCAGTGTTAGGTCTAAGCCCCTAAAAAATTAATTGCACTAACCGTTTTAAACATCCGCTTAATTAGCATTTATGCAAACTTTTAAGAGCCTCTGTTCATTATTAGTTGCATTATATGACATGCTATGTTACATATCATTGCTTAATGCCTGCTATATCCTTGGCTGCATTATATAATATGCTATATTACATTGCATACGCAAAATTGAACCAAATTCACGTGATTGGCGAGTTAAAGATTTCCCGCACCATATGTAAATTGATTTTTTATATAGGAAATTAATGTTAGAATTTTAACAATACAATAATTTACACATGAAATGTAGTTAAAATAGAAATTGACTTAAAGACCAATGATTTGGGTATTGTTTTTTTATATAATGTAATTGCCTGTGTTGAGCTCTTCTATTATTAAAGAAAGTACTGCCCATGTTGGATGTTTAAAGCTAGGGTAAGAGCAGAAATTATTGAACTTGAGAATATCTGAGTCAAATTATAACAGTTTTACTTGTATTCATGTTGTAGTTATAAATAAAATCAACAATGTAAACCGGGATTACCGTATTTGCCCCCAAAATAAGCACGAGTTTTTGAGGCATATTTTGAGCTCTAAATTGGAGTCGTGCTTATTTTCGGGCATACAGAAAGTATCGCCCGATTTACGTGTAAAACCATTTTTTAAAAATACATTTATCAAGTTTTCTCCCTTTTTTGATAATAAACATCACTTTATTTATCTTTTGCCA